GCTCTCCATTACACCCACTTTCAACAGGCGAGAGCGGAGTTATCGGCCCTTTGACCCCGCTTCAGCGCACGGGACAGATCCAGTTCCGGGGTCAGTTCCTCACGAATCCTGCCATCTCACTCGCAATCTCCGACTTAGCCACCGTCAACCCGGCTCTACCCATCAACTTCCAGATTCGACCCACGGCTCTCTCCAGAGTAGGAGCAACGGTGACCCTGACCGATCTGACCAACAACGTAGCCGGCGCTTTTGTCTCCTACATGGCATGCCCAAGCAATGCGAACCTACCAATCAGCAGCAATACGAATACCGGGCTCACTGGATTCGGAGGCAATACCGGTTTCGGAGGAAACACCGGTTTCGGGGGAACCGGGTTCAACCCTCTGGGGGGCGGCAGTACGTTGAGTAACGCGTTCTTTGCGGAAATTTTTGACTGATTTCAATGACCAGCCCCCTTCTGTAAACGACCTTGACCTGTTACCTTGTGAAGTAAAAGGGGTCAAGGTCGCCGGTGAGGTTTTTAAGGGGGAGGAAGAGAGCCTTGTCTGAAAGCGTTGATAAGAATTTTGTGGGCTGCTGTCAGACGCAATGGCCCCTTGCGGTAAACAATATGTTTGGCGGAAAGTTAACCCCAAACAAACTCACAAATACACATATATATGCACACAAAGGTGCCTACGACCAAGCACGCGTACACACACACGTACACACACACACACACACACACACGTACACACACACACACACACACACACACACACACACACATACACACGTACACACACACACACACACACACACACACACACACAACACCCATACACCTGCCACTGTTACAAGTGAAACCTCTGTTATGTTCTATAGTTCACACAAACGGACCAAAAAGTTGTAAATATTAATTATAATCCCAAGATACAGCATTTCTACCTCAGATGGGCCATATCCGTATCTACTTCTACTTTCTCTATGAACTCATAATACATGCACTGTATACTGTATAAAACACACGTATACTGTATAAAATACACACTGTATACTGTATAAAAACACACGCAACCAAGTGATTTCATGTTGTATCAACGACATAATTTTAATGTTTCTGTGAAAATGCAATAATAAAGAAAGAAAACAAAAAACAAAACATACGAGAGTACCGAGTTGTTGTTTTATTTCTGTTCTGCCTTCATGGGTCACTGACTTGCAAGTGGGTGGTTGGCGGGTGCTCTGGTGTGGTTTGCTCCTTCTTTCCTATCGAACATCTATCATCCTTATCTCCCCTTATTCTTGTTTGTGTTTGTTACTCTCTTGTAACACCTCTAATCTTCTGGCGCTCATATGACCGTATGCAGTTGCGAGCGCCGTAAGATAATAATAATAATAATAATAAATAGCATTTGTATAGCGCATATTCCCCGCTCAACAGCAGGCTCTATGCGCTTTACACTATATTATTACCCCAGCAGACCATAGAACATTCCGAAACATTCTCAGCTTCCCGGGAAGCATACAGTGCAAGCAGCTGATTAAGCGCTCAAACACTAACAAACTGACAAGATCTTTCGCTGTCTATAGCCGGGTACCCATTCCCACCTGGGTGAAGTGAGGAAAATTCGTGTAAAGTGCCTTTCCCAAGGACACAACGTCGGGTCCCTGACGGGATTCGAACCCACGACCTTACGGTTGCGAGTCCGAGAGCCTAACCACTAGGCCACCGACGCCACAATATAACTGAGATAACTGACTTGCATGAAATTGTTCGCTCCGTCAAATTCACTACCCTAGAATTGCCTAGTTCTTTCTGCTCAGTGTCTAGTTTTGAGAAATTTGACGCCAAAATTTTTGAGTTTTACAAAATGTCAACCGACGAGTAGCTCTTTATAAATTTAAAATGCAATTTTTTAAATATCTTGAATGGAAAGGACTCCAAATTATCTTATATTTATGATATAGCGGGATAGAACATTTAAAGTTGGTTTCTGACCTTATGGTCTCAGAAGCTCAATGCGGCCAAAACTGTCAGATAGATTTTGTAATTCTGTGGTAGCACACTTGGAGTAACTATTGTATAGTTAACTATTATATAGTGACTCCAAGGTAGCACAATGGCAAATGCCTCCCCAGAAAAGGGAAAAAAGCAGATGGCGCGCACATTTCTGGTCTTGGTGCTTATCTTAAGCGAGCCTAATTTTTGTTCTATAACGTAGAAATGTTTCGCCCCAAGTGACACTGTCTATATTTAGATCATTTATGAAGCGGCTGTCGCGCCCCTGTCTGTCAGACCCAGTTCGGGCTGAGAGAGATACAATGTCTCAGCAGACAGAGGGAGAGACTCAATAAAAGTTTTACCTACACGGGAATCGAACTAACGTCTTCTGCGCACAATGGCTAAGCGTCTAACCGCTACACCACAGACACCGGTTAAGCCTACTTGTGAATACTGAATACCCTCAAGGGAAGATTGTCGGTCACAGGTGACATCACAGTGCATGTTTAAAGTAATCATTACCGAGAATGTTATCCTTTATTTAATATGAAACAAATTTAACTGTTTTTACTGTATTTTCTTCTGACATTTTGTCTGGAAAAAACAACAACATAGATTTAGCCCAGTGAGTGGTTCAACAGAATCGTTAACTGGAGACATTAAAAGGTCTTTCTCCCGTCTCTCTCTCTCTCTCTCTCTCTCTCTCTCTCTCTCTCTCTCTCTCTCTCTCTCTCTCTCTTTTCTACTCTACTCTACTCTCCTGCTCCTTCTTCTCCTTCTTCTCCTTTTTCTCCTCCTCCTCCTCCTCCTCCTCCTCCCCCTCCATTAGCAACAACAACATCAGCAAACAGTGCGTCGTGAACCTACCTATCTAACAACACCTCAACATTCTCAACCCATGTGACATCGATTGTGTGTATTCTTACAACACATGTGCAACAATATTTATTATGTGGTCGCTTTTACGGACAAGCGGGCTAACCCAGATTTCGGAGGTTTCCAGAAATCTGGACCTACACCAAAAGTGGGCATTGCCCTACATATAGGAGAAGTTTGGTTTCATTGGTGTGTATATTTGTTTGGTTATAGAGAACACTCTCCTTGTCTTTTAAAGAAACTGAACAAGGAGCAAAAACTTTACCTTTAATTTTCTCAAAACAGCATTTTTCGGGATACCCCCCTTGTGCTTAAAAGCGACCATGTCATTGTGTAATGTGTACTTGTCAGAAAAAGGTACAGCACTAAGGAAAAGTCAGTCAGTCAGACTCAATCACATGGTAGATAACGTCGAAAAAAAATCATGTTATCATTTGTGAATCGATGCATAAACGAAAAAGAAAATGTGTTATCAATGGGGTGATATCGATGAAGTGATGATTTGTACATTCGTTGGGATTTCGTTGTCACTCTGTGTGTCCTGTCATCGCTGGAGACAGCTAACCATGTGAAGATAATGATGTAGTCCTTTGTTATGTGTGACTCATTGGGGCAAAGGAAGATAGGACTAACGCTAACATTACTTAAACGTAATCACCACCATTATTTCTAAAAATCCTCATTGCTCACAGATCCTTATAGATTATCCGGATTTTGCCCACCTCTAATTTAAAGTTGGTTTCTGGCCTCATGGTCTCAGTAACTCAAAGCGGCCAAAATGTATTTATTATTATTTCTAAAAATCCTCATTGCTCACAGATCTTTAACTTGCATCTATAATCCTTGAATCTTCATCTCTAACAGTTACTTGTCACACTAAGCATGCACGTAATACATTTTTGGACACCATCATACGCATTTTTTCTACTTATCAGATGGCGTCAATATCATATAAATGAGCAAGGGATAAAAAAAGTCCTTCGTTATGTGCATGAGCATGACATAGATAAAAGCAACATGATCACAAGACTAGCCACAAGTCAATAACTGAACACGCACTAAATAACTTTATGGCAACGAATATGTTTCGTAGAGTACAGTCTATAGTGGTGACGAGTAGAAAGAGGAGATGGAGGCGGAGGAGGGGAGAGGAGAGAGAGAGAGGAGGCAGAGGAGGGAGAGGAAGATGAGAGTGATGGACGACACCGACAAGGAAGACAACGATGAATAGAAGGGGGAGGAGGAGGAGGATGAGGAGGAGG